TGTGAAATAATGCAAGTGTTCAGACTGTAAAAACATACTCACTAGGAAACAAAGAGGTTTAATATCTGCAAAAACAGATTTAAATAAGAACAACGGCAATGGTTACAATGCCCAAACAGAACAGGTGCTGGCTTTTCTCTACACGCTGCTCGATTTTAGGAGGAGGTAGGGCTTCTCAACCAACACCGTCAGCATGTAGCTCACCACCAGCGTCAGCATCAGGTGACCAAGGAACAGGTACATCTACAGAGGGAACAACACACAGCGGTCCGAAGATATGAAAAACTGAGCCAAACCTTGGTAATACAGTTTAATGGGTGAATAAATGAGTAAAATGCTTACAAAATTGATGTCTGAGTAGTGGATCGGGGTCTCTTGCAAGCCGATGTAGGCGATGATGAACACTGGATGTATCAGGTAGCAGGCAAAACTAATGTTGGACAGAGGAACCCAGAAACTCAACGACAGGAGCCTCTTGATAAAGCCTGGAGAAACAGAAAGACAGAAGAAAATGCTGGAGAATAGATTTTGAAAGAAGCGTGTAGAAACAACAAAGGGCTTCTTGGAACTCTACCATTGCTTTATCTCATAGTGCAATCAATTAAAATGCATGCTTTCACATTGTATTTTGTTTTTCCTAAAGATGATATGCGGTTGGTCGTTTACCTCCATAGCCCTCCTCACAGGCCAGTATGATCCAGCTCACAGCCAGAGCCCACATGGGTCTGTGCAGCCCCTGATACAGAGCGTGAGGCAGGGATGGACGATGTGGAGTCTCCCTGAGGACGTAGGCCAGTCCAACCACCAGGGCCATGAGAGACAGACAGCAGAACCAACCAAGAGCTGCCTTCCACTGGACCAGCAACAAGACAGGGTGAGCTCATGAGGCAACTTTTGACTTGATCATAAACCAAATGTATGATACGGCGTTTTCAAATTCCCAGAAGAGATCCGTCATAATGTGATCCTGACGCTCCTCAATTTAATCAGATGTTCTCACCTTTTGCTTCAACAGCTGCTCTTTCTTTGTTGTCAGGTATATTCCAGTCAAGATGCCTATTAGAAATGGACCATATCTTGTGTAGGGTTTCACATAGTAATACAAAACATAATTCTCAGACGTCCTGCAGAAACAAACATATTCAATTTAGGGAAATCATTTTCAATAATATCAAAAGAAGAGAGGCTTAATGTGCAAACAAAAGAGCAAATGACAAGAGAAAATATTAATTCACATCTAGTTCACCATGAATTTCATACATTATTTATTATCCAACTCAGTCCAGTGTGATATTTTTTTGTGTGTGTGTTTGTTTTTTAATATTTTTGACCAGTAAAAGCTGTTTTATGTGTTTGGAATTTTAAAATGTGCATCTGACAGTTATTTTTTCTTTATAATTTTGTGATTTGAACTTTTATGTTACCCGAGCTGATTAATTATCGGCTCTCTTTCGATGTTATTGCTTGTGCACTTACAGAATCACAAGTGGGATGTTCGCCACATCACATTGTACTTTCTAATATTTACATTCGATCATCACCACACTTACATCGTAGACGGCTGAAAGACTGGTAGATGCATGAGCGCAGTGATAACGGCACTGGCCACAGTGGTCATCATCAGGAGGCCTCCAGCCACAACCACAAACACACCTTTGTTCCTGATAAACAAAACACAGAGTAGCTGTAGTGTACAACAACTCCAGTGATGGCTATGGTTAATACATGTAGAAATGTATTTAGAGTCACAATAAAGGATGTGAACATACAGTCTGTAAAAATAGACCAACAGAGGAGTGGTGGCATAACACTGGAAGTCTAGAGATAGGTACCAGGTCCAAGGAATGCACTGCAGAGAGATTTGGAGGTAAAATGTTAAGAAACAGGACAGTAATCTGAGTTAAAATACAGCATGTCTGAATTACTGGTTAAACGTACTATCTCATGGACTGGGAGCAGATTGCTGATCAGCAGTAAGTTAGCCCACCAGTACGTCTTACAGTCCATCAGCGTGTCTATAAATGGGAACCAGTAGGGCCCCCACTGGACCAACGAGATGAGGCCGATGGTTAGACACATGATGAACAGATGCAGCGGCTGAATCCTGCAGACAAATGAGGAGGATTTGCATGTATCATGCATACAGTATGAAGGGCTTCTCATGACTTGGACACATATGGATGTCATACCTTTTTACCCTCCTGAAGAGATAGTTTGCAACCAGACTGGGGCTCAGTTTGTCTTCAGCCCTGTTGATGGCGCCCAGCAGAGACCTGGCGCTGAGCAGACCCCTGAAATACAAAACTCCTAAAACTCACAACTTGAAACTTACAATGAAATACTTTTACTGTGGCAAATACAGAGTTGTTCCAGTCTCACCCCAGCAATAAGAAAGTGTCCACAGCCAGAAAAACAGGTCCGCTGATGGTGAGCACATGCACAGGGCTGCTTTCAACTGTCTTCCTCCAGTTTTTGTAGTTGTCTGCAACAGAGATATTGAAATAATAAGTGCATGTGAGCAAACTGAGAGACATACAGACTGCTGGTGTCCTCTCATACCGAGGTTGTTGATTACAGGGAACTGTGCAGAGTGTCCACAGATGATCCACAGCAGGCTGAGAACACGGATGCCGTTCAGCGAGGAGTAGCCTCCTCCTGGGACGGATGAGGAGGTGCTGAAGACGCCCTGGCTGGTATTCTGCAGAGAGAACGCCTGAAGACATCCGAACACACAGCTTCGAGGAAAACAAGGTCTTGTGGAGCTGGTGGTGTCTGCAGGAGACAATGTTCACTAAAGGCAAGGTCTGACACATTCAACAATAAAGGATTTACGGCTGATGATATGTTCCTGCACGTTTCGGTGAAGTTTATTTTTTGCACTCACCATTTTCTTCTGATGTGCTGCTGTTGACTTCACTGCCGGATGAGTTGTTGGTGTTCAGGGCACCGTAAAGGTTGAGGCCAGCGCTTAAAGGGGACGACTCGACCGTAGGGTTGACCTCTCTGTTCCGCTGCCACCTTATTATAGCCGTGAACAGGGAGGCTGCGAGAGGAACTGCTACCATTACACAACACACAAACCTGCAGGAGTGAAGAAAACAGGTCAATGTCAACAGATGCAAAAGTCCTGAGCTGGAAAACAGATGATTCTAGGGTTCGGTTTGCAGGTGAGAGCACATGCAGGTCTGAGTCTGATCATATACTGACAGGCAGGTGACATCAGATGCATCAGGGGCAATTGTTTGGGGCAAACAGTGAGTCATGATCATCTCCTGAGTGGACTGGTTCACCAGGATGGAAGGTAAAGGAGGAACGAGGGACATCTGACCAAACCGAAGTCTGTCTGTGAAAACGAGGTGACAACATGTAAAGCAACAACACATGACATTGCAACGAATCCACAGAAAGCTGACTTCTTAATCACTGACCATACAGCACCAGTATTTGCACCTCCTCTTCCCCGCAGGAGTCAGGAACACAGATGCCCACAAAGTACTGGACGGTTCCCTACGGCAATGAAAAACGCTTTGTTCAAAATCTACTTTTGTCACTTCATATAAAACAGTTAATTTGGCATTTTGTCCTTTTTCTTGCCGTTACCTGCCTCAGGAACACCTGGCAGTACTGTCCAGAGAAGCTGGGACCGTGGGCCGAGCGACACTGCTGCAGCAAACCAGGCCGGTTGGTATTACCTCCTTTAACGTTGCTCCCCATCTTTCCAAATGAATCGTACACTGACAACACACAGAACAGACAACCAATAAATCAAACACACCCCACGGGCCCTCTAGATAAAAAGAAAAGTCAAGTTACATATTATGTTGAATGTAACCTCCTTAAAAACTCTTAAAATACAAACGTTTAAAGTAACTGAATGAAAAAGAAAACTTCTATTTTAGCGTAGAAGTGGGGCATCGCACTTTAATTTTAGTGCACTATGATAAAGTACAATATGTCTTTTTATTCTGCACAAATTAAGCTTTAAGTGTCAATTACACAAAACAAAAAAATGAAAGTGAAATGTTTGGGTTTTTACGGATTTTAAGCGAGTTGCTTTTGTTGATTGAAACACCGCCACAAATGTGATGTAACCATCAGTTGGTGACAGCCAGGTAGGTTTTAAACCAAATGGAGAAAAATTAAACGCAATCTTTAGAAATTGTGGAGAATCATTTCAGTGCTTTAAAACTAATGGATGCAAAGTCTCTGATTATGAGGAACTGAGAATATTGTTTTATGAAGACCTCTGAATATGGATAATCTCCGTTTTTCAATTTATTTGCTCTTATGTATTTTATTAAATGATCATTTGGTTTTTGAAGTTTCTTTCTTATCGTTCTAATGTAACATGGTATTTATTTCTATCATCTCTGTGCCTTGGTGTTTGTAAATGTTTCTTTAGTTAACCAGAGGGTCCTCAGTAGAGGGGTATAGTTGCCCCTACCAACCATGGTATGGCATTTTTTTGAAAAAGTGACCTTTGACCTCTAGTGGAGCTATTTCTGCACTGATTGACCCCAAAATCTAATCATTCCGAGGAGAGGCCATTCCTAGCTCACCTGTAAAATATCAACTTGCTACACCTTAGCACTTGGACTACAGACTGTTCACAGACACACACACTTACAGACGGACACCCAATGGGACTGATTACTCTGTAGTTGCCCCCGGATCAGGGCCAACCATGAAAATGTAACTTTTGTTTTTAAGTATCTCACAGTCAAATGTTGTTACTGTCAAACTCCAAAAGGACAAATCACTGGGGAAGATTAAACGTACAGATTGTTGGATTTAATGACATCTAGTGGTGATGTTTCAGACTAAAGAACAAACGGGATGAGAGAAGACGAGGAGTTTCTGATCAGTAGTAAAACATTAAACACAAACTTTACCTCTGTCAAAGAAAGAAGAGCAAACATACATGTTAAATAAACTTATAGTTAAATGTCTTGGTGCTGCAGTTTGTGTTCAGTTCAATCAGCAACAGCTACGGCCTGGAGGTGACGCCAACGCAGACATAGCTTAAAGTAGACTATTAAGGATGACTATGTGGCGGCTCCGAAAAAACCTCAGCTTCCAATAAACTCCTCAAAAGCATCAACTTTACTCATAAAACACTCAGACAGGTATTTTTGAGGGTGTGACTGACTTGTACAGCTGCAACTAATGACTATGTTAGAAATCGGCTCTTGGGAGCTGCACAGTTACTCAGTGGCTCTCGTGTAGTTATCAGCTTTAAAATTTAACTCGAGGCTTCGGTCATGTGCTAATTAACAATACAGACCAATAATATGCTGATTGTGTGAGTTTGTAAAATAGTCGACTCCTACAGATTCTGTAATAAATTACAGAGGATGAGGTTCTTGCTGGCTGCGCCTCTTTGTTGACCTGTTGTTGACTCAGTGGAGCTGCAAATGTTAGACTTCGCTGTGAGATTTCTAATTACTATAGTCGATCTGTATTCAACCAAGCCACCCTGCTGTTTAAATAACACCCTCCCCAATACTTAGGCCTGGCAGAAACTAACTTTATCCACTTGTGCTGAACGTCCACAAACTGTGGGAAGGGGCTCCATGCTTCTATAAAACACATCAATCAGTAACACACTTTCGTCCAGTATGTGGTAATAACTTGGTAATAACTGCATGCCATTCAAACTGT